GCTGCTCCGCCCGGGGTACGGGCCGCTCAGCCCAGCACGCTCCCTTTGTTTGTTTATTTCCCGTTACAGGGGCACAGACACAACCGGCTCTAACTTTAAATCCTCAAACTTCTCATACAGCAACACCACTGCTATTTTTTTCCCCCACGTTTCTCACACCTGAGCCCAAGACTCACACTGCTTTAAACAGTTGCTGTCCTCCGAACAAAAATGCCACTATTAAATATTCCACAGGAATGAACTGTCAAGGAATAGATCCAGGCACCATTAATAGCTCAACAGATTAAGAGTTAAAACAATCCAAAGAACTAAAGCAACAAAAAACAAGCTCAAGGGAGGAAAAAAAAAAAATCACACACACCCCAAGTTTTTCTTAAAATACAAGGGTAAGAAGGTAACTTTATTTGTTAGTGATCATTACTTAAAATAAATTACCCCTTACCACGGTTTTAGAGCCAACTGTTCCTTTAGTTACCGCTTAAGAAGCAGCACAGGTACATCTAGTTTGTGGTAACTCAAGAAGGCCACGGCCCCTGGTACAAATGCGCTTAACAGTGAAACCCTCATACCTACTGTTTACCCTTTCCATGATTTTCCTTGACTGCTGATGAAGCATTTTCAAGCACCCCTGTTATGTGCTCAGTGCATACATATGGTGTAGACTTAAGTTTTTCTCCAGGACTACAGTTTCTCCAAATGAGCTGTATTAATCACAGGCATCCTCAGTTTCCTCAGACCTAACAGCTTGAAGCCTGAACACTTCTAGCACTGGTATCTCAAAGCATAGATAACAGCAGATTAAGTTACAAATTTTGTTTTCAATACAAAACAGTATCCCCTTATGAGAATCAAGAAGGCAAAAATTTTAATCATCTCTCATTATAAAACTGTACCAGCATTTTTACTGAAAACAATGCAGAGCTTGGATATAGTTTTGTTTTGGTTCTGTTCTTGGTAACAATTAAGTGACAGTTATCAAACCCTGATTATGGTTCACTGAACCTCTGTACAATCACATGCATTGCAAGTATATAAATAGATCTTAATGACCCAATATCAAAAATACAAGAACCTCAGGTATATTAAAACAGTCTGTCCATGAAAATTCACACTTAATACATCTGTTCTCCCTGAAAATAAAGGTAGCCACTAAGAGGTGTCAAAAAGTAGCACAAGGGAGCAGAAAAGATACGACAGGAGTCTTGGCTGACTTATTGCTACCTGTAGATTTCAAGGGTAATTGGGCTTCTTAATCATCCTTGGAATGTCAAATTGTACCAGGATTTTTGAACACAGAGTAAAGAAAAAATAGCAATATTTATAAAAATAGCATAATTTAAGTTAGATAAATCCTTTTAAATACAAGAACGAAATCAATTATTCTATAAAAAAAATTAGAAGTGTATGTTCCTGAAGCACCAGCATAATATTCTAATATTAAGTCAGGACTTCTCCCACTACACAGACTTCATAAACATACCTGCAAAATCTTCTCCTCTTGCTTATCACACCCAAGTGTCAAAGAGCATGCACTTAAAATCTGTACTGCACATGATGCTTGTAGTCAACTACTGAAGATCTATTTGAATCTCACGAGGCAAGAGAACAGTTTTGTGCCAGCTAAGTATACTTCATAAGGTTTACCTCATTTGCACATGCAGAGCATGTGCTTCAGGTGTAGATTAGATCTAACTAAGAATTTTTATAACGGTTTACAATTTTTATAATATTTGAGGTCAAGAGGCAACAGTGCAGATACTATGGCTTATAGTTACACTACACATAGTAAAAGCTACAATTGTGAAAAGAGGTAACAAAACCCACGCTCTTCTGCAACTGTATTAAGTGTAAAGTTTCAGAACTTTAGGAAATATTAAAAACCATAATTATTTTGTGGCAAAAGAACCAGAAAGAGTCTGATGTTGGTTTGCTTGTTTTTAAACAATATCCAGTTTTAAAGTCCATTAAAACAAAACTAGTTTTAGTGACATAGATATTTTTAGTGTTTTTAGCATTACAACTTTGGTGTTTAGATCTAGCAAATCAGTATATTGTATGCAATATACATCATCCTCATCAAAACAGATGTTCTATAAGAAAAAATATTAACTCCATTTCCAATGGCAAAGATGTAGGATCTGACATCCCACCATGGATCACAGGAATCAGAGCACTGTCCAACTCATTCAGATAGTTCTGTGGAAGAAGTTGACCACCAGAACCTGCCAAGTACTCGACCTAGAAAGAAAGAAAAAAAAAGTTTATATTAACAAGATGACACAGAATTTCAGACTCTTCACAGGGGGGAGAGGGTAATCATTTCACCTAGTACTGAATGACAGAGGCATTGGATGTGTTTCCAGGCCAGTTCGTCACTTTAAAGTTTGCCACTGAGAAACACGCACCATTTCCCTTGAGTTTGTAAGGCCACACGCTTTCTGCACACCAAACTGCTCCAGACTGATGTCCAAGAATGATGTGATTACTTTCCTAGTATCACAGTTACTTATAAGACTAGCTTTTAGTTTTCAACAATGTGCTGAAACCAAGCTGATTTATGAGGTTCTCTGAAATAAGATAAGTATTACTGAAAATACCACCTACAGAAGCAAGGAAGCTTAGAACTTGTTATGTGTCCTTTTCAGAGGCATCATCTGCTGGATAACCTTGCTTTCTCTCCCAGCCTCAGCTGTGCAGACCTGTTCTCTTCTGCTATACAGGGTTTGCATGTACCTCTTACTGAACTCTCTTAAGGATCCAAAATAGCAGAAACCTGTGCTTCAAGAAAGCCATATAATCAGAAAACTATCTCTATGATTTTGTAAATTGACTCACCTTGGAAACAAATCAGTACTAGAGTTAGAACTAGGGAAGGACTGGTAATACACTGTAAGCAAGCTATTAGGACACAGGGCAGAAGAAGAATCACGTCTACCCTTTTCAAGGGGAACTAGTTATTTGAACAGTTTCTACATGAGATTTAATTCTCAGTCTGAATCTGTGGTATCATTAAAAAAGGAGAGGAAAAAAAATCAGAAAGGCACGTAATGTCTTTAAAGTAAAGATTTCAGTTGAAATGTAGTGTCTGCAATAGAAGTTGAAAGATTACCATATCTGAGTCAATGGAAACTCTAAGGCCTATTTTGTTCATTCCATTATCTTTCAAGGTTTTAAGATGTGGGCGAAGAGCAGTACTGCAAGCAATAGCAATCTCTTTAGCAAACTGGTGAGGAATAGGACTGGATAGTTCAAGATCCTTTTGAAAATAGTACACCTGAAAGTAAAGAAGAGAAGCCAGTTAGTAGTTTGGTTATTAAAAAAAAAAGGCCATAAATACCCATGTTTGGCAAAGCATTCCAATATGGTAAAAATACTCCAATAATTTATCTGTTCAATCTAAATATGTATTGAATGATTATGGGAACACTTGAGTGGCTATGAGATATCCACATTACATACTTATGTAGTTATCAAAACTTACAGACATGACTAAGTCTCTTTTCTGAAGGAAAAAATGAAAAATTTGTAAAATGATCAAAGAATTACAGAAAACAGTTGACAAATTGTATGGCCACATACTAAGTAGATAGTTGGTTTGGAAGCATCTCTACCACCTAACTAAGCAGTGGCAAAAAAAAACCCACTCAGGTACAATATAATTTACTAACTTCAGTACACTTCATAATTCTGCCTTCTGTTTCAAAGTCTCCACCTTGTAGTACTTTTTCACTTTGAGTTCCTTCCATTGATTTTCCATCTATCGGGCTTACAATTCTACAGAAGAAGATAATAACATAGTTAACATAGTTACAGTAACATCTTACTTCATACAAGTTATTCAGCGTAAAGCACAATATTTAAAAAAAATTCAGAATGACTAGACATATAACAAAAAAATCTAATACTGAATTTACATCATGAAAATACAGAGGCTCCAAAACCAAATAAGCCTAAATAGAACACAGACACACTGCTCATTCAATACAAAACCTATCTTTCACTAGAAATGTTTTTAGATAAAGCCCCTGTTTGTTCTAATTGATCATAGAACCACAGGAAAAACAGGAAAAGGGACAGCAGATCAAGCCCTGGCCTGAGAAACCATGTATTTGTTTAAAACATGAACAAGTGAGTTTGAATTAGTAATGGGCAATCATCATTAATGTTTGACTCTATATAAACAAACGTTCAAATCATGGGGCATAAAAGGAGGTCTTACATCCCATTTCACCTTGCCGACTGAATGCTGCACTGTAAGCAATCAGTAGGAAAAGGCAGCACTGTGACCGACCGCAGAGTTAGAAGAGAACATTTGACAATAAATTAGTAAATAAAAATAATAAAAAACACCCAAACACCAAAATACAACAACAAAAAACACCCTAAGGCCTCTTACTGTCAACTTTCAGAGCAGACAAGAGAGCAAAAATTGCATGAACACCATATGCAAAATTAGATATACTGCTAGTGACATCTAGAGGATTGCAGGTAGCTTAGTATCTCATTGCTTTATTTATATATTTAAATCAAATTCCTCCTTTCAATAAATAAAAAGAATTAGATAAACTCCTTGAAATAAAAGATGGATATTTAAACGTAAACAAATGAATTACAAAAGAGGTTTTGCTTTTATAATACATTTACCCTTTGTTTGTTTTTTCTTCATTTTCTACCCAGCAAATATCTACATATTCTTTTAGGTCTCCTGCATCCATTTTGCCACAAGTTATTCTAAAGTCTTTCTGGTCTCTCAATGCCTGACGCAAGCTTTCCATTGTTTCTGGTGTTATTTGTACCATTAGTCCATCTAAAAAAAAAAAAAAAACACAGTTAAAATTCTCACTTATCTACAGAAGCAGCAGCAGGGTATTTTAGTAGAATCTTGGCCTAAATTCTGGAAGAATGCACCTTCTTAATAAAGGCATAGAGGTCATAACTTGAACTCCATCCCCCAACTACGGCATTAAACACTGAAAGGAAGCATAATACAAACTTTTCTGGTCGACAGAGCTAGATCTTACAACTTTTTGACATTTATGTATCAAAAGCTGTATTTCATCAATTCATCACTGAAAACAAATTTAGATACATGCAACTGCAAAGAAAATATTTGGATTGATTAAGTGTCTTCACTTAATTAATTTAGTTTAATATATATTGAGTTAAAGCTCAATATACATTAAACAGATGGATCAACACACATTTTTAATACAGCCAGATTCGCAATACATTTTCTACAAAGCTAAAAATCATGAAAAGCTTAGCTTTTATGATAATCAAATATACAGAGACTAGCAGTCATATGTATGTATATACATATATGTGTATATACACACACACATATATATAAAATAAGAAACCACATATTGTTAAATTCTTACCTTCAACTATACTGGATTTAGCTAGAAATCCTGAAGATGTTTTCAAGGCTCCATTAAACACCACAAAACTTGCACCTGTGACTAGAAAAAGTAGAAATAAAATGAATGCCACCACGTCACCCCAATTTGCAGTCACAGAATGAACAGCCCAGATGGAATGCAGTACATTACCAACACCTCAAAACTTTACTGTGTTACCCATTTGATAGATGTTGTATACAAATACTCACTGTTGTATGTTTTACATACTCAGCTATACAGACAGTATGTCTGCACCTATAACTATATTCCCCAATTCACACTAAGTTTAGAAAGAACTAAAGAACTTGATGAGGCATGAAAGTGTAAATAAGATCTTTTTAAGAAATGAAAATAGACAAAAGTATTAATTTGTATTTAATCGCATCTATAAAAGATGTCTAAGTGATTATATATTTTTTTTAAAAAAAATGCATTTAAATTATTTTACTTTTAGACCACTATACTTCTGTTCAAATTAAGTCACTGCATCTTCCATTTCTGGCCCCAAAATGTGATAATTCCCCACAAACTAGGCAACTTACCTTTCCTAGGGTGCCCAGTTGCGCTGTTTGCTTGTGTGTTATAGACACCATCTTTACTCTGCACACACACCAAGTGAGAATCTGCTTCACTATTAAAACTGGCTCCAATGCTAATTACATGCTCATTTGAAGAATTTATCACCTTCATCATCTGCCAGTACAAAATTTTTTGTCAGGAGATTGACACAGATCTCTGCTTTGCAGAGCTATGAAAAAATCTTTCTAACACTGAAGAGCTTATATTAAAACAAAAACAATAAACAAACACACACAATGGCAGGTCCCAAGACAAATCAACAATTAGTCATTTTTCATCCTAAAGGATTTGCACCATAGAATTTGCTATGATGAGCTGAGGAAAATTTTCTGTGCGTGACCAAAAATACTATTTCAGAAAGGGATAAATAAGTAAGTCTGAAAACCTCTGCATGTTAGAATACCTCGTTTGTGGGTTTTTTTTTATTCTTGTAAGGCTGATGCATGTATTAGCCTCAAGCATTTTATTATGCACTTGTTTTGCTGAAGCCAAAGTAAGCAAACTGTAATAAGAAATACACTTTGGCAAGAATAATTTTCCTTGAAGCTGTAAGCAGAACAGTGCTTTAACAGTTGCGTAAAAGGTTCTCTTTGAAAATATCTTCTGAAAGATTTCAGATAAACTGCTGATTTCTTTCATCACTTAACAGTTATCCTAACGGCCAACTTCCCACTCAATATCCACCATCCAGCATATCCAGAAAGAAGGAAAAGGGTTGTTCAGATAATTTCACCCTAGAGATGCACATCAACTCGAAGTCCCGACAGCAAAGTGACCTGGGGAACTGCAATCTAGCGGGACAAGTAACACACACAACAGCCTAGGAACTCATCACAGAAATCAGAACAACTCTTTTCCCAACAGTCGGGTCTAATGTGTTTTCTTGTTTTTTAAAGCATCCAAATTAAAGATGTTACAAGTATTGTGTGAAAAATAAAGATTAAAGTAGTTTGGATTAGAAAGACTTTAATACTCACCTCATTATATCTGCTTCGAGGTATTTTAATACAGCTTCTACCCATTTCCACATGAACAAATAGGTTGTCTATGGTATGCAAAGTATATTGATAATTCCTAAGATCCTGTAACAGACAGTCTTTACGTTAACAGATGGCTGAAGTGTATGCAGCACTTCCACATTTTAAGAGATCCCATTTAATCTACGCATGCAACAACCTGAAAAGTAGTGATATTAGATATAGCTAATGATTTACCCTTCATACACATCACAAGAGGGGAAGAGTGATTTACTGATCATTTAGTCTAGTAGTACTGATAAAGTGACTTGAAATATCATGTACACACAGGTTATTTAGACTAGAGCAGCTGTCAGAATGACTATTACCAATTTAATAAAAATACTTTTTTTCTTATGACTTGAAGTGGTTCCTTCTACAAGAAAATATGCTAAAAACAATAGAATGAAAGGTATAGCTTTTCAAATTCACACACAAATACTGTTAGGAATGTTCCAAGTCATGTATGAAGAATAAAAACGTTAACCCATTGTTTTTGCCAAAAAAAACCAAAACAAACAGACATCAACAACAAAAAAAGCTTTAAAGAATATCAGAATTGCAAGGCTATTTCACCTCATCTAAATTGCCATAGGAACGGAAGAGAATGAGCGTTTACTCACAACAAGCAGATTCATAATTGTGTGTCCTATCTCTCCAAAGAGTGGCTTGCGGTCTCTGACACTTACTACAGGCGTTGGATACACTAGGGTGGAGAAGAGGGGAGGGAAAAAAAAAAAAAAAAAACGATGTTTATCAATTAACAGCTATAAAAAAAAATTGCCAAGCCAAGTATTTATGTATTCAGCTAGAGTTTACTCTAATTTCAACAAAACCTGGGCAGCCTTAGGAACCAGAGCCACTGCTAACTTTTCAGCACTGCACAGTTCCTCCCTCTGTCACATCCGACAGCAGCTACCAGGACAGACAGAAGGAAACACCCCGGGTGCAGCCTTTGGGTCACCAGCTGAGAGAGGAGCTGCCAGGCTTACTGATTGCTCGAGTAATAATACCATGAGGATGAAAAACTGATCACTGAAATAGGAAACACCTGCAGGTATTTTTTTTTACATATTACATTTGTGTAATACAAAACACCGCCAAGAGTCTTGATGACTTTGAACTTTTCACTTGCCTACCACACATTCTCGTGGGTAATCTTACATTTATAGAGACATTTTCAGCGATAAAACTTACCCCCACACTCTGCTCCCAATCTCAACATTAAACGGATTGGAAAAACTTTTGCCCAGGGTATTTCCAACTTATGGATGAGAATGCCATACAGAAAAGGGTTATCTGGCAAAGGCAAGTCATCGAAATTCTGGAAAGTTGGTGAAACAAACAGGAAGCCTCCGTGATCTTTATTACCAAGACAGTTCTCGTTAAAAGTGAAGTTATCCATATTTCTTATTAACCTTCCTGTTGAAAAAGGGACAGATGAAGTATTTGCATATCAACAGTAATAAGAGGAAAAATATTAAGTGGCCTAAAATCAGTAGCTCTCCTACACACTTTAAACTACAGGATACATCTTAAGACTTGCTGAAATGGATTTTGATGTGGATTTGGGGTATGGATTTGGATGTCTGCAAGATTTTCAGTGTTATATAGTCTCATTTATTAACTAGGCAGCCTTCAATACAAGGCTAGATTTTTCCAAACAAATACTAAAAAAACTTCTTCAAGGTGTAAACTTTCCAGTACACAATTTATTTCATTGTATCATTTTACATTTAAGTAACAGTTTGAGTTATGTTAATCAAAAGTTTAGATGTTTTCCTGTACTTCTACAGAGAAACTCCAGGTCCTTAACTGGCGACTCAATGATTTATACCCAAAACCTCCCACAAAACACAACTAAAAGGGGAAGGAAAAGAAAAAAGGAAAAAAAAAGAAAAAAAAATCAACAGGAGGTTTGCAAAACTAAATGAATGATAAACTTGCCAAATTCTAACTCTCCTGTTGCAGGATTAACTTAGGTTCTAAGCAACTTATTCAACAAAGCTATTAGATACCAACAAATAATACAGTAAAAATTAGATTAACTTCCAGCTTTAAAGATAAGCAAGAAGATAGTAAAACATGCAGTTGGATATTACGTACCTTTCATCACATCCTTATAGATCTCAATAAATAATTTGAGTATTTCATTAGGGAAATTCTCTTCATCTGGTAAACACTGCAATAGAATGATAATTTCTGCCTGACCCATGCCATGTAGTCCATTTGTTGAGAAGTACCAGCACTTTTCTGAAGAATCTTTAATTAAAGGTAGATACCACAGTGATATTGTTTTATAATGAGGAGAAAACAGACTGATTTAATAGAAAAGAAAATGTACACTACTTACAAGATATTAACTTGACATTCACAAGGAAGTTTGCATTTAGGATGAAGGTTAATGGATTAGGATCTCCTTCTGCAAGAAGCGAGGTGACCTGTTGGCAAGATGGATGTTCTTCCACTAGAGGATCTAAATAAATTAAGATTTAGTTTAACATGTTAAAAAAAAATTACAGATCATAGGTGAAAGCCCCACTCTCCTATATTTAAAAGGGTGGTATTCTCAAACTTGGAATGACTACCAATCAAACAATGACCCTACCCTATCACATAAAGCAAAACAGGATTTGTAGTAAAGGCATAAATTAGGGCTACTGTTCAATTCCCAACTAGTGATCAACTATATATGCTGTCTCATCATCCACATACTGGTACTGTAACAGTGATCACAAGCACTATTGTGTGACATTAAGTGATTTTGTAGCACAGGGGCAAATCTCTCTAACAACACACGTTCCATTATCAAACATGATCCAACGTACAACATAAAAGAAAGTTGAAATTTTATTACAATATAGTGTGTATACACAGAACATTCTTATTTAGAAATCTTGTATCAAGTGATATGATGCTAACAATTTGCTCAAACTTTACCTTTTCCTTTTTCTCCTGCTGCAAGCAAAAGTGGTGGCAGTTTATCACCATCAGGAACAAGGCTGACTTCCTTACTAACACACTTTTCAAGACCACATAGTGCTCTGTAACTTGAAGGACTAACAGGCAAATCATTTTTAGTCCCATCAGCCGAGCTGGGACTAGACTTTTCAGTTTCTGCAGCAGTAGAAAACCCCTCCGTTTCTGGAGTTACTGTTTTGTAAGCAGGCACCAGCTCAGCTTGCCTAGGAATGGCCTGTTGCCTATCATGTGAAGGAACAGAAGATTCACAACGCAGTTCTTCAGTTCTTGCAGTAACATCCATTACTTCCTTTGGTTTTGGATTTACACCACTTAACGTGTCATTCTCTTCTGGATTTACAACCTATGAGAAAACAAAAACAGCACAGTCTACACTCCAGTCTGATAACATTATACACTAGAAGCAAAAAAAAAAAAAAAATCAATGAGAAAAAATATTTTCAGATTTTTGACAGGTGTTTCTTTCAGAAAGGCAGAAAGTCATAACTCTCCTAGATCTTACATTTTTTCCCATCTTTAAAAGACATTAGTCCCTATTTTAGCTTAAGATGCATCATTAATTTACTTGTTCTCTAATACAAAATTATAATCAGAGCTGCATATTGGTCATTTTAATATATCACAGTCAGATACAACACAATCAACAGAAGAAACATATATGACTTAAGCAACCTGCTTACTATTAGTAATAGCTTCCCCATTCAGATCTTTTGAATATTTTTTGTTGTCATAATTTAGATCAGTCATGTAGTACTATATGTGTATTTATATTTTCACACAAGGTATTAGCAGGTGAGTCTGCCATTCTACAGCATGACTCATTTTCAGGTTTGGCGTCAAACCTATGGTGCTCCCTCAGTAAAACAGATTTGACAAACTAACAGAGTATAATCAGGCTATGATATGAACCATGATCAAAAAAGACAAATCAAGTCACGAGATATCGCCTTTCCAATCTGTTAAGTCATCATACAAGTGCACATAGACTTGGGTCCTATCTTAAGAGAAAAGATTTTGCACTGTAACAAGAAAGGGCTTAACAGCTCTAGGCTTGCCCTATCCTAGGGCCTCTAGCTCCAGAAAATCCCCCGTTAAGAGAATGCACAAACTACATCACTATCCCCAAAACCACATCCTAAGAATACATAGCCATGAGTAAACTGGCCTTCATGAACAACTTCCCATGCATTTGCTTGATGGCATTTCACATGATTTTATCTCTTTGGCTTCCATAGTGCCCTGTGGCAGTAAGTTCAGGATTATGGGTTGCATGAAGAAGTACCCACCTCACTTTTCAGTGCAGTACATGTTTGTTTGCTGGGGCGTCTGAAGTCACGTACAAAACCCACTAACCATCTCCTATTTTGTTACGTCCATGCTACTTTAAAACTTATCTTTTGCAGCTGAAAGGGCCTTAACCTTTCCCCAAAACAAAAGATATGTTCTTGTCCTGACTGCTAAAATGGAGAAAAAAAAGCTGCTAGGTCTGCGAAAAACATCAGTGCTTTGGTTCTGTAATGATTTTCCATCTTACTTTCTATCTGTTTGCACACACATTCTGTCCGTCCCCTTCCCTCTCCCCTTATTTTTTTTTAAAGACACCCGCGTAAATATTTTCGCTGGGCTAATCACTAAGTTTTGTTTTTTTCCCCTTATCTAAACATAACATCAATAAGCACAGCTGAAAGCAATTTCCATATATATTCCTATGCTGCCTTTAAAGACATACAACCACATCTGTCATTTTAGCAGCCAGCTCATTAATATCTGAAATCTGTTTGCCAATTACTTTTACCAATCATCTGCATGTATGCTGATTAGCATCGAGGCCAACACATACCACTCTGTCTTCACACTCCCTCCTCAGGGAACTTGGCTATGCAGTTCTACCTCTATGACCTCTGAGAGGGCATTTTCTTCTGACTGCCTGATTTTTAGGAGCACATGATGAATCTTTCTGGAAAATGCTGGTTCATCAACAAGAACAGCATTATCTTTAGCACTGCTGACTAATAGATATGTAAGGATATTTCCTCAAAAAAAAAGCTTTCTCCTCCTTATCTTGGACTGATCCTCAGGCTACTGACTCTATTAAAGATTCTACAAAGGAAAGGAACAATTAATAAAAGTTAAGATCCATCTATAACTTAAGGGAGCTGTTATTCAAATTAACTCACATTTACTAGCATTCATTTCACAGAAGTTAGGCCCAATTTGTGTTATACACAGGTGATGTCAGACATCTTCGTGTGTGAGTAAATACGATCTTGTCTCACCTGTTCAACTTAAAACAGTACTTCAGACATAAGTTTTATTTAAAAAGGGTCGAGTCTGACAAACTCTTCAAGCGCTTCCAAAGCAAACTCATACCTTTTTTGGACTTCAGTTTCTCTGACAAGTGCAAGTACAGTTCAACATGAATATATCTTATAAAAAGCAAATCCCTCCCCCAGCTCACTACATTTATCACAGAAGTGTTATGCTGCTTTACTATAAACATGTTAGTAACTACAAATGTAGCTAATCAAAAGGCTGTGCAGAAAAAGACTGATTTGGAATACATTTGACTATATCACTTTTAAAGTTCACATATGCTCCAAAGAGACATGATCTCTTTTATTTAAGTATGGTCTTGACAACCTTTCAATGCAAGAACTTCACAGCCACCCAAAAAACACAAAACCAAAAACAAACAAAAAAATAGGTTCAGGTTCCAAAAGCAATCAAGCAAAAGTCATGTTGCTGTGCGTAAGGGGTCCCAATCAATAAAGTTACTACATGAGACCTACATTCATGCACCTACACACACTTCTTAAGTCATACCATAGGCATCTCTGGCAAGTCAGGGTTTACTGGACTTAGGTCCTGTGATGACCTCTTTGCTCCAGACGAAAGTTTTGTTGTATCTGCCACTTCACCATTTGGCAAAATACCATCGGCAAACCACACTCTCCTCTGTTCTTTGGGGCACAGCCCTGGACAGATTGAAAAAAACAACACTGAGTTCATATTATCACACCGTCCTAATAGCTAGAAGGGATTTAAAGAAAAAAATAATAATGTCAACATTCCAGCCCTCTCTCCCAAGATTTTTTTTTTTAAGACTGAGTCACATTCATACAGTATAGTTACAAGGTTACCAATCTTTTTATGTGAAATAACTTAGTAACAGAACAAAACATTTCAGAAAGATTAAAAAAAAAATCAATCTGTTTACTGGAATCAAGAAAAAGTACACAATTTGACCCCTGCCAAATTCCAGTCAGGCAAATATATACAAAAGATTCTCATGTTTGCAGAGAAAATTGTCATGCTATAGCAAAATGTATCAGTTCCCAAATATGGAAGGCTTTCTCAACCATCCCTCTGCAGTAAGGCATGAATAGAAAGAACATCATTCCTGGAAGATGAAATATATTAAAAGAAAAAAAAGTTTACTGCACTGTTTTAAAGCTTCTTTTAACTGAAGAAAATTGAATGTATTAAAAAAAGTGGAATAAAGATTGTTGAGCAACTACTCATTCATCTTTACCCAGAAAATGAACAAATACTTTTGCCCAACAATTTTCACCTAAACAACTACTTTTTGCTATTGCGGGAGCCCTAGAAGTCGCGATCAGGTCAGAGGCTTCTTGAGCTATGAGAGACTGCTCAAAGTCAATATAAATAGAAAAAACAAGAGAAAAAAAATCCGCATTTCACAAGTGAAGACTTAACACAGACCTGGTCAAGCTCATACATTTGAGTCAGAGCTACAGACAACTTTCCTTTTAGTCTCAGTTAAGAGGTTCAGTTTGAGTCCCGCAAAGAACAACATACACCAAACATGTATATACATATATATTTGCATACCCACAATTCAACTAAAAAAACTTTCCAAAAAATCTCTAAAGTGTTAGAAAATTACACTATATTTAACATACCTTCGATACCTGGTTGTTTAAGCACAGAGATAGGCAACAACATAGATGATGAAGGAGAGCTGGAACTATCAGTTGCCTGTGCCTCCTGTGAAGGTGGAACAGCAGAAGAACATTCAGAGGAGACAGTGGAAATAGGGATAGGACCAGTTGGACTCATCATCCTTTCAAATGCCTGTGCTAAAAGGAAAGAAAGGAAGCACTTAATTTTTTTTTAAGACCTTGCATTTGAATAAATTTGCACTGTAAGTTTTCTTTTTTTTTTTTTTTTTTTTTTGCAAGAGTGCATGCTGGTGATGGAAAATGAATAGTCAAGTATTGTATAAAAGAAAAACTAACTTTATTGATTTTCTACACTTTTCTGTCTATTTTCTTCCCAACACAGAAAAAAAAAAACAGCCTGACATTTAGCAATGACTCTACACTGGACTGCATAATCCTCATACACAGGTGGAAATATTTAACAATTATCGAGTCATATTCCCTTCAGTTGGTAGTTATTTATCTGATGTATAACACCAGTAAATTTTCTCTTGGTAGGCATACTTTGCTTCAAGTTAATGTGTGCTCAGGCAACCCACAGGAATGAAATGCAGAGAAATTCCAAGCTGTCCACACTGCTAAGGCAGTTCAATGCTTTACTTAGTACAGCAAGAAGGAAAAAGGTTTTTTCAAAAGCATGAAATCCCCAACTGGATAGTGCAGGGAGCTGTCATCTTAAAAAAAAAAAAAAAAAAAAAAAGCAATATGTATTCAATTTAAGTATTGAAAATCAGAGCATCAACCTTCTCTTGCTGTACCCATAAAGCATCCTTATTTTCCAACCCATTTACTGTTGGTCTGTTAAATAAACTTATAAGAATATAAGACAAGAAGCTATATAAATGGACAAGTAACAGGTTAGAACTAGCAGAGGTAGAACCTTTAAACATGCAGCAGGCAATCCTTCAACCAGAAGAAAAAATATATATATTTCTAAGGTGCTATAACAGATGACCAAATGGCACAGTTTTAGAAGAAACTCTACAGAGTCCAAATCTATATGATTGTTTGTATACATACAGAGAAATCATCTTGTCAAAGTTTAAAATAAGACTAAAAAAAAAAATCCAACTAAAAGAGATACAACTATCCTCTTCCTCCAACTCAGAAACAATACAGAAATTTAAATGAATTGAAGCAGTGAAACTTCTCCAAAAGGAGAAAGATGAAAGAGATATTAACCATTTCTTTTTTTCTTTAATAATTATTGTAATTACTTAAAATGAGCATTTAACCTTTTACCTTTAATAATAGAGTCATAACAGCCAATACAGACTCTTGCTTCCTTCTCCATGTATTGTAGTTTGCACTTTCGGTTGCAACAGTTGCCACAGAAAACCTGAACCAAAGCAAGACTTAGTTAAGTATCACAGGCAAAGACGCAGCATTTCCCAAATTAAGCTCCTATTATCATTTAGTCACTTCTTCTTTACTAAAAGAGATTGAATTATCCAAAGCATTCAGATACCTTCTTCAGAGTAGGAAAGAAAGAAAAGACAAAAGAAGATTTTGTAGAGTTTTTAGCACATACATCTGCAGAAATGTTTGGGGAGAAGAGATGGGAAGGTTTATACTAAGAATCTCAAAAGAGCCATAAATTGGATCAGTCAAACCTGCACTCGATCAGGGTTCCTTTTGTCTTATTTCTCAGGAAGTACACCACAATTTATCCATACTGTAAGCTTTTTCAATGAGCTATATCCCATTTCCACTTATGGATATTTTGGCCGCGCACTGCCCCACAGCATTTGCCAGGCTAACACCTTGAGCAGGGCATACCCCCTCACACACTAAGTCCTGCTTCTTAGTTCTCACTTATTTTCTCACATCTGAAAATGCAGTATACTTGAGATTTTTTGATAATGCTTTTACATTAAGGGCTTAACAGCGTTCCAAGCAACTCCAAAAAAAAACAAAAAAACACTCCCTCTTTTCTTAGAAGCTGTAATTGCAGTAAATTCTCTATTTCTTCCACAAAAGACTACAGAACATTTTCTTCCTTAAAGGTATGGAATAGTTTGTCTGGAATGGAAAATAATGAGACAACAGACTATATCAGCAGTTTATTACATGGATGTAGTTGGTATAGGAACAGACACAAGCTGATCCAAGCACAGCAAATACAGAACTATGATCCATACCTTGCGGTGTTTTCGACTGTTCAGCGCTGTCTAAAATGGGGAAGCTTTTCATAGAATCATAGGATGGTTGAGGTTGGAAGGGACCTCTAGAGATCATCTAGTCCAACCCCCCTGCACACGCAGGGAGACCTAGAGCACGTGGCACGGGGTGGCATCCAGGCGGGTTTGGAAGATCTCCAGAGAAGGAGACTCTACAACCTCTCTGGGCAGCCTGTTCCAGGGCTCTGTCACCCTCATGCTGTGTACTGTGCGCTGCTCCAGGGCTCTGTGCAATGAGCACAGCAACTTGCCAGGAAGGTCTGAGCTGCCTTGTCTGACTCACAAGCAATCGCCCCAGCCAGGGAGTCATTTTCTTTCAAGGGAATTTAATAAGTGGACTCCCCAACCAACCCTCTAGCAGAAATAATGAGCTTAGTTGTCCTTCTGATATTGGCTCCCCTTAAAGTATTTAAAGAACATACTGGAGATTGCTTTAGAAGACCAGAAAGTTCCTCCTCTCAACGGAATATAGGTATCCTGCCTATTTTTAAAGACAGATGGGGGGGGGGGGGGGGGGGAAAAAAAAAAATGAAG